AGAGCCGCCGGCGTTATTTGGCCCATATACCGGGGTCCGTGCTACAGAGAAGGCGAGCCAAACAAAGAAGCCGCGCAGACTGTGTTTCGTAACACCTGCTGGCGCTAGAAATGGATGTTTGATTGGTGACGAACATTCACGCTTCAGCGAACTGAATCCATAAGCTGTCTGACTGGAATGGACATGGACTTGTTTGAAGCAAAAAGTTTATGTGGCAGGAATCTGTCGTTAGGTACCTTGTTGATTCTTGTAAATAGACCAGTGTAAACAGCTCTGAACCCTTTTTGCAGCGGCGGGACTGGTTGTTTCGTTAATCCCTTCTGCTGCAGTGAGAGCAGAATTGGTCCGTCGTGACCGCTGCTGCTGTGCATGGGTGCAGCGCAGAGCCCTACCGTTGTCCGGCTGGGTATTCCACTTGGCTCGAGCCCTGATTCGTGTAATGAGTAGTCTTCGGTCCCGGGCATTGCGTCCGGTTCAAATCACCTCGTGTAATGGGCGACCATTGGCCGTTTGTCATTGTCGCGCACCCGCAGTCACTCGTGCCGGATGGAGTGGGGTGTGAATGAGGGGTGGGGGTTGGTAGAGGCGGTCCCCAATAGAATGTCAGTTGAACAGACCTGCACACAATGCAATAATATCCTGCATGGCCATTGGAAGCATATTTCCACCGCGCTGGCTCAACCTGTAAAAATCAAGCTGGCTCGCTTCCCTACCTAACGGTCACGCTTACCGTATCTAACCGTATCTAACTGTGTTTGACCACCCGCTACCCATTTCTGACCCCTCCCCTCTCCTCTCTTCAGACCGGCGGTGCGGACGGCGGCCTCCATCATCCTGCGCGGCCCCAACGACTTCTATTGCGACGAGATGGAGCGCTCGGTGCACGATGCCCTGTGCGTGGTACAGCGCGTGCTCGAGTCCAAGTCGCTGGTGGTCGGCGGCGGTGCGGTCGAGACGGCGCTCTCCATCTACCTGGAGAACTTCGCTACCTCCATGGTGAGTACGGATGGCGGGGAGAGAGTTGGAAGGGACCGGGAGAAGCCGGGGTGCGTCCTGGGTAGTCTGCTGTCTCCAGCACGTTTATTGTTTTTATGGAATGTTTATTGTTGCGTTTATGTTGGATGTGGGACGTGGGTGCAGATTATTCAGTGCTGTTTTGTATGTAATGTTGTGAACTTCATAGCCACTGGTTGCGCTTGGGAGATAATTTTGGGCCATCTTCTAAGCAGTTCTGTGATGATGTGTTCTTGACCGCCCACCAGTGTGTGCGCTGCCTGGCATGATCCTGCTATGATGGCCCGTCCTGTTTATGGAAGTACGAGTAAGCTATTATTGCCAGGATGCTGATGTTATCGATGGCCCATGAGTCTGCTGGACCGCTAATAATAGCGCGTGTTTATTATTGTCGCAGCTGTACCGGCCCAGTGAACACTGTGATGTCAGGCGAACATGCCAGAAATTTATTAGTGCCTAAGTAATGTGTCGTGACTGTATGTGCTGTATCGTCACCTAGCAATGCTGGTGGCAATTATTGCTTTCTTTATCCTCTCGGTCTCCCTCCAGGCAGGCAAAAACAAACATATCTCAAATTACAACAACATACCTGCGCTCAATAGTTTCGAGCACTACATCACTAGCTGTTGTGCTGTGTGTCTGACACCTTCTCCCGCCCCCGTTTACAGAGCTCCCGGGAGCAGCTGGCCATTGCCGAGTTCGCTCACTCACTACTCGTCATTCCCAAGACGCTGTCCAACAACGCTGCCCAGGACTCCACCGAACTGGTGGCCAAGCTGCGAGGTAAGTAACGCTCGCGCGCGTATCAGGGATGGTGGGGTAGGCCGGCCGGCGGTGCCGAGGGGAACGGTCTTCAGGATACGGGCGCCGGATAATTGTCGTATAAATGAGCTCCAGTTGTCTTGACGGTTGCGACTTTAGATATTCCTATATAGTTGCGCATACTTTCAACGACTAAGTAGCAGCGTCAAATCGAAACTAGCTGCTCTCCTCCCCAGCTACGAGAGCGAACGAACTTCCCATCGCAAACTGTTAACGGGATCTCAGCGACATCTATAGTGGTAGCCGGTAGTACTCGTTGGCTTCTAGCCGCCTGATGGCAGCACCGTCCGGCAAAGCGACTCGCATCCCAGCCAGCGCAACGCAGTAAGGATAAGGCATATACGGCCTAGGATAAGGCTTCCGAACGCCCACATCGCCAATGCTCCGAAAGGGAACCCGGAGCACCCAGAAATTGTTGTGTGTTTGGACCGCCGTGGTGTCGAGTTGAAACGACCATGACCTTCCTGGTGTTCTGGTGGCTGTACCCGCTCGAACAATAAACACTAACCGGGCGGTGGACAGTAAACAAAACAGTGTCCAAAAGGCGCGACCGATGTCCGTATTCGTGGTCAGCCTCAAGTCATTGTGTCAATGGGTGGCATTCAACGCTCTTCGGAGAGGTATTGGGAGGCTGGTTAATTTGTTCTTGGGCTTGCCTTACGATTGCTGAGGAAGCACCGAGTAAGCACTGCGGCCGAACGCTCGCGAACAAATTAAACCCGGGGTGCTGACTGGCCGAGAGGGGTGCGCGTTTCCAAGTGCGCCTCGGGCAGTGCGAATTAATCACCGAGACGCGCTATGATTGCAGTTTTGTCTTGTGCACGCCTGTGGGCTCCGAGGAGCCGCTTACGAGGCAGTTCGCACCGAGCGGTAACCGGAGCCGAGGGGGCAGGGCGCGCCCCGGGCTGAGAACACGGCAGTCCGCTCCGGTTACCGGGGAGTGGGCTGCTGACCGGTACTACCCGTTCCCACCACTCGGACGCTGCTGGTGCCGGTCGTGCTGAGGGCGTTTCTGTGCCTGACTGGGCCCGAGCAAAGTGTCGTACTTCCTTTTTATGGAATTAAGTAGCATGCATTGTGACGCCGCTGTTGTCAAAAGAGTATCGGTGCTAACAATTCTGTTAACGGCGCTTGGTAAGATTAGGCTCGGACTTCTCTGACGCTACATTTGGTGAAATGGTTAATGCGTCTTTTGCCGTCGATGAATTGGTCTGTATCATTCCGAATAATTCATTCAACAACACTGAAAAAAACTTATTCCAATTGGCCCCATTTGCTGACTTTTTGAACTATTGACCTGACCTAGAGTCACCGGGAATGGAAGGGAATATGTAAAGGATGCACAACAGTGGTAACTCCTGTACCCGATTAGTATTGCCGCCTTCTTATAAAAAGTGCACTGTAATTGTTTGCGAAATGTACATTGGAATCTAGGTTCCGAGTTCCGACCGTTAGTGCATTGTGAGACTTTCAGTGGACCAGCGGAAAATGTCGGCTTATCAGACTTCAGAGTGGGACTAGATATTCGAAGTAAATCCAAACATGGTCTGGAGCTGCTGCTAATGATTATTTGCGCGTCTTTGAATGGTTTTCTATGAATGTTGACTATCGCCCTTCCTCTCTCGCTGCGTTAACCATCTCGAGCCCGCCGCTTCGGTAGAACCCCGCCCATCTAACCTGACCCTCTCCCTCCTGTGCCGACAGCGTACCACAACGCCAGTCAGACTCAGACGGAGCGGGCCGATCTGCGCCACGTCGGCCTCGACCTGGTGGAGGGTATCGTGCGCGACAATCGTCAGCACGGCGTGCTCGAGCCGGCGCTCTCCAAGGTGAAGCAGCTGAAATTCGCCACCGAGGCGGCCATCACAATTCTGCGCATCGACGACTGCATCAAACTGGAGCCGGAACAGACGGACGAGCGCTCCTATCAGAACGCCATGCGCCGCGGCCAGCTGGGCTAGTCGTGCGCGCTGAGACACCCGACTGAGGAGGTCGGCGGCACGCCACCGCCGCCGGCGAGCTAACTCCCGACTGACCAGGCCCGCGCGCCGCCAGTGCCGTGTGAAAACGTCCACTTGTTCTTTGTGTTCGCCCCGCGCAATGTCTTAATAAAGCACTACTCACGCCATATTTGGGTGTTTGGGGCGGTGCAGAGCGTGGAATCGATGAATTTGTGTAGGAATGGTCGGTCACTGAGTGAAATCTGTTCAATCTGTAAAGGGTCGTTCCCTGGGACAGTTCCGTCGCTGAGTGATGCTCGAGAGATGTTCAGGGAAGCAGCGAACGCTCGGTGTCGCTGACAGTCCTCCTTCGCATTGCCCATGTCACCTTTTCATTCATGCCCGTAAAAGCAGCTCAGTGAGGCTGTCATTTTGTAGCGCATACATGGCGCCTATATCGCCTGGAGCACGACAGGATCGCACGCAATCGACGAAAGTTTTAGCGCATTTGGAAAACACCCGCCGCTCTCACGTGGCCCTTGTAGTTATCACTACTATCATGCCCACAGGCTTTTCTTCTTCGAGCGCAAGTACGATCACCAATGAGCCTCAAACGACTTTCTCCTCAGTCCCCAAGCTGATCAGCTGGACAGCGGATGTTATCCCACTGACCCGCTGGGGCGCCGGGCGTAACTCGTATTTACCGCACGCACACGAGAGGACATGTGAGATAAAATGGTCGCCCCCGACTGAGTGAAAGGTGGCTGTCTAATGACAGCAGTCGAGCAGTCACCGCCCGTCATTAAGAACTTGCCACCTCTGAGGCTCAGTGAGGTTCTGTGATTCCCGGTTTCAGTCCCAACAGTGCATAATCTGCTTGCTTACGCTATCTGAACGGTGCGATTTGTCGTGCTTCAATAGACCATTGAATGTAGACGCCAGTGGTCCGGGCGTCTACATTCCAGGCTGATCTAGGCTTTACTTGAGCAATGCTACCAAGTGTTGATAACGTCAAGGGCGCATGTCTTCGATGGTCGGACTCGGGCTCGGCTGACAGTTGACAATTGAGATGCGATTCGATTGTGTCGCATCGTGTCCGCAACGATAAATGATCACTGGTCGCCTACCTATAAAATCGAAGCAAACTATTTTAATTGGTTTCCACTGACTATACAGAATTATCGAATCCCACATCAGCACTGCTCCAGTCCTAAAATAATAGAATAAGTCATATCCTGGAGCGGCAAAAACACCGAACCCCATATATTTCATCTGAGTCTGGTTACCACTGATCATGATCACAGGAGCAATAACACGTAAATGCACGCATAAGATGCAACAACGGTAGCTAATTGTCATACGAGTATAAAAGCCGCAGAGCGATCTCCACGGGCTTCCCAAATTGCAACTGGCACATAGGGGCAAGGAGCCAGCTCCGCACCGACGACGACAATGTGCGCGGGGGCGATCCGACTTCCGCTCCGACCGGCCCAGCGGTCCGCTTCATCGCTGGTCGTTAATACCCTCTGGCACTTTGATAACGACACCCTCGAACAGCTCCTTCGTGACATGGCAGGCGCAGCCGAGCCGCGAGGTTTCGGTGAGCCCGTAGGCAAGGTCCAGCATGTCCATCTCCTCCTCTGAGATGTCCGAGGAGAGCTGTTCATACACCGCCTCGGGCAGGATCAGGTGGCACGTGGAGCAGGCCAGGGTGCCCTCGCACGCGCCGAACCCGTCGATGTCCACGTTGTTGTCAAGCACCGCCTCCAGGAGGTTATCACCCTCCTTTACGGTCACCTTCTGCTGAGTGCCATCGGGGAACTCAAAGGTGATGTTAACCTTCTCTGTGCAGCTTGCTGGCGTTGCTTGCAGGTGACGCTGGAGCTGGCTGAGGCTTGGTAGCACAGGCCGAGCTAGTGGAGCCTGTAGAATGCTTTGACGGAGTCCACCAATGGCCTGTGTGCAGGTCCTTAGTACTTGAGGCAGTCGGAACATGATCAACAGAAGAACTGAACCTGAAATTACACAAAGTGTTGTTAGGTCAGACTGATATCTACAATCAATGCATAACAGGATTGTCAGTAATGTAAAAGTTGGCTTACAGCAGTTTTAGAAGTTTTATAAATATCATTTAAAGAACAATGTGAAAATGAGCAATGTACAGCTGACTCAAATGAGTGCCACAATGTATTGGTATTGGCACTTAAATCTGATGACGTCATCAGGCTTTCGAACGTCCGTTAAATGTTTGACTAAAACGTTTTGTAGCACGCGGTGGTATATGCTGCGTTGCGCGCAACAAATGCCGCACTTTTAAATAAAGTCGCTAGGAACAGCGGAGATCCCAAAAAGTAAACAAAAGTAAAAGTCTAATATCTTGAAAACCGGTGAATATTTTTCGGTGAAATTTGGTAGATATTCGTTTTCGCTCTTTCTGAACCGAGCGACATCACTTTCATGCCAATTCATAAACTTTTTTAAAGGTGGGAGGGTCCCTTTGATAATAAATATCCTAACCAACAAAATTTTGAACATCAACTTTTATCACAAATTATTCAGGTACCTACCCACAGCCAGCAGCAGTGACAGCCCAAAATGAAAAGCATCAACTAGGTCTACCACTTAACCAGTGTATATTGCGATGGGATAGTATTGTACACTTACCTCAAATACTTCAGGTCAGGTGTGATAATTTTCTTCCGTATCACAAATGCTTCCAAGACAACTGCATGAAGCAGTCCTGGTCCAGTGGCAGAGGAACTAACCCACCCGGGACACTGTAGATAAGCATGTGATCGTGATCAAGCATGCGATGAGTGACTTGGTATCAGTATCGCGAGTCGAAAGCATCAGCCACTATTCGTCCTAGCTGCGCCAGAGCTGAAGGAGTCTATTTTCTGATGCTAATTTACTGCTAGTTTTATAAATTGAATATTTTTATTTGATCACTGATCGTTGAAAGTTATTCAACAGCAAAATTCAAAACAGCGTTACTAGACTTTGTACAAAAGTTTGGAAGTCAGCATTATGAAACCGTATATTACCAACTGACACGCCATTTTTAGTGCTCTGAAAAATTTACATATGCTCTTGAACCTTAATTTTTATTTGTGTAGATCCCCCTTATACTTCGTATATCAAAAGAAAAAAATACTGTTACATCTTTTGAAATGCCAAACATAAATTTTAGCAGCTAAATCTCGGTTAAAATTAAAGTCTTTATATCTTGCTTTCAAAGAAATTGCAGTATTTTAATTCAGCACAGCTGTTGCACTTGGTGGCGAGGAATGGCGCATTTGAGCGATTGCTATTCTTCTTCTTTTTGCTGTTGTGGGACGGAGCCTCTCATTTTGGCCTTTGACATTACATAAGTCGTTCTTGATATTATTTATCTGAATTTGCAATAATGGCATCCGTCGCAACAAAAGCTGCAGGTAAAATTCCATTGTATTTTTTGTGTAAACTTACTTTTGTAGAGCTGCATGTATTTTGTGTCTGTCTCAGGTAGCTTACAGGCTAAATCAGACTGTTTTGCATAGGTAGGTAATTTTGATATTTTATATGTTCCCCACATGATGGTATTGCGATTTCTTGTTGGTTTCGATTTGATATACACATTTTCTTGGTGTTGAAGGTTAGAATGAGGGGTCACCCACTTTCATATTCTGTTCGGGCCACAGTATTAACTAGATCAAGATTATTTACCAGTTTCTGCAGTATGATGGACGCTGGTGAAAACAGGGTGCCGGAGGGCATATTTGGTCACGTGACTACTGAGGAGTTCTCCCCCTCTCAATGCCTTCTACACAGTGATTGTCGCGTGGTTTGTGCGAGTGAATTTGAAGAGCCTTGAACAAATCGCCCCAGGCGCCCTGTTTTCACCGTCGTCCCGTATGATGGCGCTAGCAGAGCTTTCTCTTGTTTTTGGTGTTCATTTTATGAATAACTTATTTTGGTTTCACTCTCAATAACTTTTCCTCTAACACAGCACCAATGCAGCAGCACAGCATGCTGCATCATTGTGCCTTGAAACAGACCCTGCAATTGCATGCCTTGTAAGCTCAAAGTGCACAGAGAGTGCATCAAAGCATGTTATGTAATGCTCCATCTTTAGTGTGAAACATGATTTTGATGTTAAGGATAAGAAACTGTTGTTTTTGTCACATTTGGTATTTAGCCTGTAATGAGACTAAGCTAAAATTATTCCTCATTCTGGGCCTGGCACAGAACTCACAATTGGAATGTCCATACTGGCTTAGTCATGGCTGCTCTGAATGTGGGCTTCATGTGGACTAGCTTCTCCTATGTCTTAGTAGCAGACTAGCGGAGTAATTGGAATACACTTTCTATCAAGGTGCTTTGAAATCTACAATGTTTGATAAGTTTGCAGAAAAGCTAAATGAGCAATATCACACTAAAATTAGTTAAGTATGACTGATTTAATCATTAGTGACTCTCTCATTCAAAGGAATCTTAAGTTTTGTTTTTGTTGTTATGCGTCATTGTGTGCTTTGTTAGTCCTGGTGGGATGTGGAATCATTTATTTAAACATCCCAGCATAAACAAAACCATATTATCATTTGGTTGATGTCAAGTCAAAGTTGATAATGCTGATTCATCTAGTTCAAGAACTGACACATTTTGTTGAAGTTCATGAATTTCATGAATCAGATGCTGAATTTCGTCAGGTGTCATCACATTAAAACTGCCTAGAAATGCTCTGTATGTGGGAGCTAAATTGCCAATGGTTTGTTAAATAACAAGCTGAGCAGGAAATGCAAAGGAGTAAGTTTTTGTGCAATGGATATGACCAAACTGCTGCTGTTATTCTTTGTCATTTATTTTACAGCAGAAGTTGATAATGACCATGGCTATTGATAATTAGCTCATCCATGCATTTAGCCGCCACTGAATCAGAAAAATATGTCGTTTATGTTCGATACATTTTTTCAACCGTGTACTCTGTGCTCTTTACTCGCATGTGTATACCTCCCCTTAAATTGACTATCTGTGTTCCCTCTCCGTTCTTCAGGCGGCGGCGCCATGCAGTGGCTCCGCCGCTGGGCCTACAGCGCCTCCGGTTTCAACAAGCTCGGTCTCTGGCACGACGACTGTCTGTATGAGGACGACGAGGTGAAGGAGGCCGTCCGTCGCCTGCCGGAGCGTCTCCAGGACGACCGCACGTTCCGCATCACTCGCGCCATGCAGCTGTCACTCTCACACCAGATCCTGCCCAGGGAACAGTGGACTACCTTTGATGAGGTGAGAGGACGGACGGCAGGTGGCCGTGGGGTGGAACGAGTGAGAACGGGTTTTGTCAGATGCGTGTTCTGGTGGCATAGTTGCATTTCGCTTTTGTTAGCCGAAGAGGGCTGTCATGTAGGTATATGAGTCTCTCATGTGTCATGTGTCATGTCTACGCTCGAGTGTCCTTACAAAGGAATCTCGATTGTGCCATTTCGAAGGTCTGCTTTCATCGACAAATTGTATCAAATGTCATAATGTCTGCTGTCTTGCTACCAAAGGCATGTAAATTATTACGTCCCTACTGGCGCTGTGGCGCCGCATTTGTCATTACCTACCCGATTAATAAAGAACGCTTGCTTCGCACTCTCCAAACCGTAATATCAGTTGCGCGATTCAGTGTCCCCTCCCCAAAGTAAGATGCTCTGGGTTTGTAATGCTGCACCACGGTCCATGACCGATACCCAGATACATACCCAGCTGGGGCAGTGCTGGGCAACTGCCATATCTAACTTGGCTTATTTATAAAGGGATGACGCTCTCATATGCTGCCATCCCCATACCATCCGGTTACACGTAGTCACGTAACTGGAAAATGCAAACATGTATGTTATTCGACGGGCCCGTCATCTGTTTCAGGATATCCGGTACCTGAAGCCCTACCTCGAGGAGGTCCGGAAAGAGAACCGCGAGAAGGCAGAGTGGAGCAAGAAGTGAGAGGCTGGGAGCGGCACTAGTGAATTGCGCGTGAGGTCTGTGGTCGGGACGGTGGGTGACGCTCCATTGACATCTGTCCTGATGTCGGCTCACCGTGCGCTCTCCTATTGGGGACAGCAGCGTACCTCGGCGGTGCGGGTACGCAATGAGAATGACCGACACAATATATGTACATAACTAGGAACGGTGTGTGGCCACTGGCCGATCGATAAAGCGATGCTCATTCCGATGGGGCCCGTTCTCAAAGGGGAGAATACGCATCACTCAACGACATGCCCAATGGCCGTTTGTCTCCACTCTAATCCTGGCGTTCATGACAATTACTCTACCATCTATCACTCCACTTCACCTCACGGTCGACCGGAGGCTCCCCTTCCACTCGTAGCACGTTAATTGTACATGTATTTCTGCACAAACGGTACGCTGATAAACGATAATCACATGCTGCATTGTGACCGGCGCGAATTTGTCGGAGCGCGCCATCTATGAGGGACGGCCGGAACCTCGGACCAGCCGAGTTCGGCCAGCCCGCCGCCATGGGGCGCCGCGCGCGGTCTCTCTCTCTCTCTCTCTCTCTCTCTCTCTCTCTCTCTCTCTCTCTCTCTCTCTCTCTCTCTCCCCTCTCTCTCTCTCTCCCTCTCTCTCTCTCCCCCCTCTCTCTCTCTCTCTCTCGCACACTCACTCACTCACTCTGTCAGCGTCCGCCGGCGCTCTCGTGCGTACAAAACGTATATGGCATCGGGCGCAGGTACGGAGTCGGGGTGCCTAGAACGGGCAGCTGCCCTGGAGCCGGGGATTAACAAGCCGCCGCGTGCAAAGGGTCGGCGCTCGGGACCAGCCCGGCGCCACACACAGACACACAAACGGATGGCCGGGAACCAGCCGCAGCCACCCCCACTCATCGTGGACCTCGCACACACCGTACAGGCGTTGGCCGCTGAAATGGCACTGATGTCGCTAAATTCTGGTGGGGTGACATGTGTACCGACACCCCAATAATGCATTCTAGACGACCTTTTGGCAACTGCTTCTGGGATTTTGACATACAGCCCGCTACCCGCACGCAACAACGGCGGCAGTCAGCCAGCCCTGCTGGTCTGTCTGACCAGCAGTCGGTCAGTTCTGCTGGTCTGTCGGACCAGCAGTCAGCCCTGCTGGTCTGTTGAACCGGCAGTCAGCTAGTCCTGCTGGTCTGTCGGACCAAGCCAGCTGCCGCATGACTGAAGTACAACCGTTACATAAAGCACGTACTCACTCACACAGTCACATACGACACATGTTAAACAGACAACTCTCAGCGGAGAACAGTAAAGAACTATGAAAACGAGACGTGTCACGCAGGCGGCGGTCGCACGGTTTGACACATGGTGATCTTCCGTTGGCAGGAGGGAGCTCGGGGCTCCTCCACCGCTCGCCAAAACAACATCTATTGGCCACGGGGCGATGGCACATTCCATTACTAAACATCAACACCTAAACGGTGGCCGGCCGCGGACCGTTCCGTTCAAAATACGGCGGTTTGGCGGGCTCGTGTGGCGCGCGCCCGTTTCGCCGTGAGCGCGGGCCGAGGAAGATGGGGTCATGGTCGCAGCAGAACAGAGGGATGGCACCACCGGCCAGCGCGCACGTGCGCTCGCTAACACTCGCATTGGATCCCAGCGCGCCGGGAAGTCTGAGGCAGTAGGTGTATCACCGTCCAGTCGCGCGGCCGGCCGGGCGGTCGGCGGTGGCGGGGGCGGGGGCGGCGGAGGGATGAGGGCGGCCGCCCGGAGACCAGCTCCGGCAGCCGGGCCCGCGCCGCCATCAGAAATAACCAATACTGGCTACACAGAAGGACCTCACGGATACGGCGCCATTCCTAACACGAAAATATCGCCCGGCCGCAATTCGCTATCATCCCTAGCTCGGTGAGCCGCCGCAGCACCGGGCAGCTCACCAAATACACGTCACCGAAGTGTCCCATTTCGCTAACATCGACTGAACGTTTGCGCACTATTGCCGTAGTCTGTTGTGCGCGGCGGCCGGCCAGTCGCGGGGCGCGGCGCACGGCCGTGGCGCCCTACTGGTGGCCGGCGGCCGGGTGGCGTCAGTGCGCAGCCGCCGCTGACTCCTCCTCGGCCGGACTCGAGTCACCGCCGCTCTCCTCGGCAATGTCGGCCTGGGGCGCCGCCGGTGCCGCTGCCGGCGGCGGTGTGGGAGCGGCGGGGGGCGGCGGCGGCGGCGGCGGCATCAGGTCGGTCTGGCCGCGGCTCTCCGCCAGCTCCAGGTCACACCAGTACTGGTAGTTCTCCTCCAGTAGGTCCATCAGCTCAGGAATGTCAATCAGCGCTGTCGGGAGAGGTCAGAGGTCAGATCAGCATAGCACCGGTAACGGCAGAAAGGGCAAAGGGACAACTCATATCTACACGGCCATAGACGATTCAATCCCACCCAGCCTACTTCTACCAACAAAATAGGTCAATTTTGCGGCTGACCATGACCGAACACAGCAAATACACCTGCTGCTAACACGCGTCCGTCAGTTCCCTCGCGTCACTCAGCGGCCAGTAGCCTTGACGTGATGTTTAACACAGGCTGAGTGGCGTCACTGCTATGGCGATGACGCACCCGAAAACGATGTCCGGCGGCGCGTAAATAGCATCCATCAATCCAGGTGCGGCCGTAACGTCCGCGGCCGACCTCCGACTGATTATTCCCCAAACAGCGGCCAACTCCAATGATAACACGCTCGCCAATAACACCGGAACACGAAATATTTACCGAGCCGAAAAATTAGCGGGCAGCTACCCGAAATATGTCCAGCACGCTGCCACATTGGCAAACATTCCCAAACATTTAAACAGAATACGGGAGCGTCTTCTTCCGGCATCGCACCGTCGAACACGTAGGGCGATTTAGCTGTGCGGCCACTAATTCAGCTATAGACAGCACGCTAGCCACGAATGGCACGAACAAATCGTTCTTGGAGGCGTGCCGGCGTGCCGCCACCGCGTATAACTCACAATCCCACGCCTCAAACATGCTGTTGATGAAGAACTCGATGAAGCCCTTCTGGGACTTGGGTATCGAGCAGGTGGCGCGATCGAATATCGGCATCACCACCGGCAGATTTCGCTCCTTTTCCACGTCCGTCTGCGAAGGATAGAACAGTGATGTGTAAATAAGGCAGACGTGTGGGTGGGCATTCAGACATCACACATTGGTCACAGCACCGATTACCGTATCTCCAGAGCCCAAACTCAACAATAGCATTCCTCTTAACGTCCCAAAACCCAACCTTACCATCGCCATAAGCATCTGCACTAAACCTTCCACGAAACTTTCTCACTCCTTGACCGTTCACTTCTCCCTTATTCCTACACTTGCTATACCACATATTATCCTATACCAACTACACTTGCTTCATATTTTCTCAGTTTGGCCTGAATTGAGCATTCGCCAGCGTGAAACATCCCTCAACCCGTCTCACTCTGTTTACCTGTGCAAAACAAACGTATCTCGCCCCCTCTCACCTGTGTGAAGTACTCCTCGGCGATCCGTTTTGCCCACTCGACACACATGCTCTGTGGTCGGACGGGGTTGGACACGTCGGCGCACTTGATGAGCATCCGCTTGATGAGGACCACGTTGTCCGGAGTGCAGAGACGGTCAATGTCCAGTTCTGTCGACTGTGGGAGGATGATGAGGGTCAGCAATTAATACTAACTCACAGTATTACGCTGCACGGGAACTACACAGTGCACACAAATGTCGGCAACCAAAATACCATTGAGGAATCTTCGTCGACAACCACAAATACATAAGTTAGATGCATTCAAACGTTAATCAAATGTCTTAAATGCGCGATTTCGAACTATCGATGCAAAATGTAACTCAGTATTAGTATGACTCAGTAGAGGCTCCTCCAAATAGGCACCCCGCACCTCCGTGTTTTAATAGACGTTTTTAACGGCTCCGTTACCAGAGTCATGAACAATAACGTTGACGAGTTCGGCAAGCAGTCCCTCTAAAAAATCCTCCCGGCTGAATCTCTCCGTTGAGTCACCACCGTCCGCGTATGTACCTGTCGACACGGGCTACCACTAACCTCGTCATCCGCTACCGTGGGCGCCGTGAACACATTGACAAACTTGGAGAGATGCTCGTAATGCTTGTTCATCTCGGTCGCCAGCACCATGTCAATGATACCGGTCCGGGTCCGTTTGTATGTAGCCTCGTCCAAGTCTGGGGGACAAGGCCAGGTGTGTCAGTAAATGCACTGTCGCATCCACAGCTAGACACTTATGTAACAGACATGAGCCACCACAGCAAACCGAACACAGACAGCGTCATTACGTTCCAGGTTAAACCGCCTCACGGAGCGCCATCAGTTTCCACCAAACGACCGTTCAAATGCACTGACGCAGTGTAACGTGAAGCCGTGGCCGCGGCAAGACGGATAAAATATGCATGTCCTGCTGCCGACTGCGTCCCCATGGCCATTCCAATCGGTAACTACTCAGTCGTTAGTTCAAAGCTGCCGCTGCCACTGCTGTCGCTGCAGCAGCTGTAGTAGCTGGACTCACTTTTGAAGATGTTGACGCGGTCGTCGGAAAGGGTGAGCTTGTAGGCGAACGCGGCGTGATGAGACTCGAGCACGCTGATATCGTTGTAGAGCAGAGCCAGCTCGTTCCGCGAGTTGCACAGGAACGCGCTGGAAAAGAGTTGTTCGCTGTGACTCAGCCCGCCACGAGACGATCGGCGAGGACCAGGCGTCTTCACGGTCTTCACGGTGAGTGAGTGAGTGAGTGAGGAAGTGAGTGAGTGAGGAAGTGAGTGAGTGAGTGAGTGAGTGAGTGAGTGAGTTAGTGAGTGAGTGAGAGAGTGAGTGAGCAGCGGAAATGGCAACAGGTGTCTGTTACAGTCTGTGCGCAACAGGCTGAGAGCAATGAATAAGTAAAGCACAACGTCAGGTGAACTCTAGAGCGCAGTCACCAGGAGCAATAGATCTTTTCGGGACGTAGCCGGATAATCTGAATACCACTCACTAAATTGGCAAACTTAGGACAAACTTTGCCAAGCCTAATGAATTAACGAACTATTAACCCTAAGTGTGAAAAGCAATTTCTCAGAAAAGCTCTTAGCTGTCCCTTCGACAATCTTCATTCTGCCATATTAAAATTTCCGTCCCGTTCTCAACAGCAAAGTTCAGCCACCACCTATGACCTAACCCAGCCCCCACCAATCATTCAACCCCTTCATTTCCATCCATTTTACCTGTTCTTGCCGGGATGGTCGACGTCGTGCACTGCCGAGGCTATCAAACAGATGGCCTCGTCGACGGCGTCGAACACGCTCTTGAGCCGCTCCTTTTCCAGGAAGTAGGCGGTACACTGTAGCACGTCGCACGCGTGTGTTGAGTTGTGATACGAGTTGGAGGAGTGGTAGTGGGCCTCTGTGGGTGAGGTCAGAACAGGGGCAGGTCAGAGAAGAGAAAGGCCTCAGTGGAGCAAGCTAGCAAGCATTTTTGTCCAAATAGTTACTCTGGTTAGTGGCAGAAAATCATAATCTAATGGCGAAAGTGCCAGCAGTTAACGAAACACGGCCAATCGGTGGGATAATTTGTCTCTGCATATGATTCCCCGTTCAAACGTTTACATAACAGGACATTTGACGGTGTCGATGTAAGCCCATTATTGCCACCAGCAATGGAGGAGGAGCTCGGAAGCTCTCAGAGCACCTAGTTCAACTGAATGGCTGAGCTCCATCGCTGATATAATAAGAGGTCCACTTCCTGGTATTGAATAAGCCTCATCTGCGCCACTCGCTCCAACGACGGCAGCTGCGATTCTTGGAGCCTCCGGGAGTCTCTAGAGGCGTAATGGGAATTTAGTGCCCAGCCTGGAGCCGAGCCTACTCACCAATCAGATTGAGCCAGTTCTCCAGAGTGCTGATATCAATACTGAGTGTGTTTGGCACGTCGAATTTTAGGAAGACGTCCATTCCCATCCATATGAGCGGCCTGCAACAGGAGACAGAAGAAGTGAGTGGAGAAACTAAGCTGGAAGTTTCAGCACGGAAGTTTATCACATCACGGTGCCACAGGCACAACCCATCCGTCCCCTCCGTGACCCGCGCGTGGGGCTCAGCCCCCTCAGACAGCCCCCGGCTGGCGACGGCGCGTCGCCGGTAAACTGTTACCGACGTGTTTAGGTGTAAACTGACTGCGACAGAGTGCTGCCGGGCCGACCGGCTCGGTGACGCGGCCGATTGATTCAGAGCCCCGCCCGGCCCTAACCGACAGACACCAGCTGGGCAGTCATTTGTCTGGATCTGTCCGGGGCATTAGGACATCGCCGCAGGAGGCACTCGGTCGGTCGGCCGCGGCGCGCGGTCCGACACCCAGGAGCCCGGCTCACCGCTTGTTGGTTATCTTTTCCAGCTGGAAGATGTCGAAGTCCCAGCGCATGTCGCGCTCGAGCAGGCTGCAGATGGCCGTGGAGTTGGTCTGGATGTTGGGCAGCGACGGCCGCCCGGTCCGGTGTCGACCGCTGCCCTCCGAGAGGCGCCGCGCCACCGTAGACTCGGAGGAAGGAGATGGGCCGTGCTGGCGACGCGACAGAAAGGGAGGGTCACTATGAGGCGGACATTGGGGAGAGAGTGGTCAACGAATAGAGGGCGGGACACTTCGTATGACTTATAGGTAATACCAGGATAAAACGTGATCAATATTCGGTTCGGGCGAGGACCGCCCATGTTGAACAAAGGGACTCACATGGCACACAAGATTACTGGCACACACTAACTGCAAGTACACTAACTGCAAGCACACTAACTCCACCCCAAGCCCTTAGCCCATCTCCCGCATATGACACAGCCACCTCATGAAGCTCCCGAAAGCCAGTCGAGCAGTGCTGACGGTGACTAACCGGCGACCCGGCAGCGGCAGTAGCCCACAGGTCGGTCAGGTCACGCCCTATTTATAGTTCCACCAGCATAAAAGCGGCCTAACGCGCGACCAGACGCGCTTTATGACATCCGTCGGACCGTTCGGGGGTCATACGGGTGAATCTCCGCGATCGACGAGCCGGTGAGCGCGCTTCTTACCGAGAGTAGCGCCCCTAGCAAGTCATTGGTGACCGGGTCCTGCATTGGAACTGTCTCCTTCCCCGGGACATTGAGCTGTGGGGAGTAGAGTTCGGTCGACTTGAGGATCTCCAGTCCCTGTCGGGGAGACAGAGCGGTCAGTCAGAGCGTTTCTGGTCGGCGGGTGAGACGCTAGTCGAGTTGCGAACCACTCGAACCGCGGGTGGACTCGCTCGAGCGACGACGTCGGGTCGCTCATTCGCCCTCTCGCCGTCTCTGGCGATCGGTCAGCCATTGGATCGAGCAGAGCGGGCTATCTTAGTCCCAGTGTATCACCACAGCCCGGCCCAACTCAGCGCAGCTATTATGACAGCGAACGATGAGCGACGTGCATTAAACAAACGGAGCTGGCCGGGTCGAGGCAGCCGTCACTGTGGTCTACTGAGCGCCCCACTGCCCTAACAATCGCGTCCTGCTGCGCCAGTCACTCCTACAGGCTTCCCCGGCAGACAGACATACAGACAGGTGTCAGTTCCCAGTGACAGGACATCCATCATCCATTCAACCCACGACGTACCCGCCGCAAACCCTTCCTAAATGACACCTCATACACCAGACAGAAAGCAAATAAACACGTCGACTTGGTTCATTGACAAGGCCGGCAGTGCAGCATGTTATCATATCCCGACCTGGCACGGTTAACACTCACACCATAGGCTATCATCATCCCTCCTCAGCAGCGACTAGGGAGACTCACCTTTTCCAGTGCCTGAGCCACATACATGGGCGCCGCCTGCTGTGCCGCCAGGATGATTCCGATCACTTTGGTGATGGGCGCCTCGATTCCCGGCGGCACCTTGGCCAGACTGGAGCGTCGTACGACCACATGTGAACCTGACACGGGCGAGAGGGGAGAGGTCAGGGCAGAGCACGGAAAAACGCACAGTGAGGTCAAGGTGGAACATATGGGGAGATTGAGGTCACACCGAGCACGTCTAGTTATTCGTCACATCGATCGATGGATTGAACTAATGCAGTCTAAGCTAATAAGTATGTGTGAGCAATGAACACACAGCAACATGTAACAGAACGGTAGCCAAAGACGGATATCATTTAGTTCTTGCCGGTCTACGGCCAAAACATATATGATGAAAAAATTACAACATAAAGAACATAGACAAGCCACGTTACAGTCATACATAAGCAGCATTTGAGACAGATCAAAATAATATGTACACACTTTGCAGAGCGAAGATCGGAAAGCTGAAGCTCATGCTACAAATGATCAGGCGCATTTGGTGTAAAAGCATAGGGTAAGGGCGGGTAAGAGGACGCGGGCGATAAGAGTACGCATCAGCTGTTTCGGTTGCCTAGCAACGCGGGTTTGTCGAGTTCATGAATAATGACATGAAGCCGCCAGCAGCCCCCACCGGACACGATTTGGTAGCCGAGGTCTGTGACGTCAGCCGGGCGTGAAGTTTTCCCTTCACCATAGGCTTTACACACAAACTTGCCGAAGTTCATGCCAGAATAGCCCGGCCTGAAAGTGCAAAACTGAATAAATTTTGCCCTCATTAGATTCAGTGCTTCATTTTATAACTAAAAACGTCCGTTATTAGGCCTCAATGAAGGTACAAAGTACTCAAAATCGAAATTCAAGAAGATGCTGTCCGAGCACAATCTGGTAACATCACGTGACTTCTTTTCAGCAGATTATTGATAATTTCAGGATATATTCACACGATTGCTGCCTAAAACATCATAAATAATACATTTGCAGCATTTATTACTTCCGTTTAAGTCATAACCTTGTAAAATGCAAAGTGTATCATGGTAGTCACGTGACCAAAGGTATAACAGGGGGTTGGGACAAACACTCAAAGGATTTCGAGTTCATTAATTAAATTATTTAATTTTCATGGTGGAATTGAAAGATTGTATTTTTTCCTAATAGCATACAAATTTTTGTATGTAAAATATTTTCCTTACGGGTGAAAGTCTCCATATAAGAAATATCAGTGACGTCACCAGGGCTTTACTCAAAACATCGGATCTACCTGTTTATTATAGGTATCTTGGCCGCCAGTGCGTGTTTGTCACCAACGGAACGTGGGCGTTGTGCGGCGACGCTGTTGAGTTTAAGGCGATGAATATTATTTTGGAGCGTTATGATATTATTATGGTATGGTACAATAATTTTGATACTTGGCAGTTGAGATAAGGTACATTTTTGTGATTACTGTGGGAAACTTGAGAGGTTTTCTGGGGAAATACTGTGCAGTGCAATATTCTGTTTGTGAAGTTTTGCACAATGTTTCGGGGTTGTTTTGTGCGCGAATTGCATGGAGGGTAAGAGTACGCACTGTTCATGAGGGTAAGAGTACGCAGAAGTATACATTATATCGAATATACAGAAATATCAAATTATTGATATATCGCTCAATGACGTTTGTTTGTAGGTATGTCATCAATGGAGCACTGTGAGGCAGATGCGTACCCGAAATTCTCCTAAATACGATTTATTTTCCCTTTTGATTGTACATTTTTAGAGTCACATGACTTGATTATTTCTTGATTTATAGATATGCAAAATTTATTTTATGTTTTTATTTTTTTGATACTAGAATTAAATTAAATGTCTTCTGAGTTTGATGTTAGGCATTTGGACAGTAAAAGCTGCCTATAGGTGTGTGTTTATATGCTTGCGTACTCCACCCGCATGGTGTGCGTACTCTTACACACCCCATGTGGTAAGAGTACGCAACAGCAGCGGTTCAGAAAACGTCAGTTTTAGACCACTTCCATTTACGCTGAAGGATCGTTGCCTCATGGGTTGATGGCGAATTCAATGAACTTTGATATTCTATATTTGCGATTTCTTTCTTTCAAATATTTAACAAATGAGAGCAAAAAATCCACTAAGTGCGTACTCTTATACGACTTCACCCTACAGACGGGAGAAGAAATCTGTAGGTGCGGGTGCATGGGCGTTCTGAATCCTGCCATAAAATGTACTAGACCATCCTTATGAAAAGGACAAGGAGCATACACTACCAAATTGTTTGAGATGCCCAACACTCCCAACAGATATTATTTTCGAGACATAGTATTCCCCTGGCACAAGACAGTGGATACCTACACTAGGCATATGGGACAGTACACACTATAAAACGCTACCACTTTCGAGTACCAATATGGTTTACTGGGCATCGATGAAGAGGCACTATGTAGTGGGTGACGCTACTTAGCAGCATTCCACAATATAATTAATGTTATAGCTCTCACGAAGCACACGACAAACCACGCCGAATTTTGTCCAAGCTTTCTTGGTCCCATTGTTAGACGGTCATTTCTCTACTTCTGCATCTCGACTATTTTCTAGGTATAGGGATTAGTCCTACAATATCCAGTCTACAACCGAATACTATGGATGAATAACTCCACCTCCAGTGACACACTGGTCTCTTGATGGGGCAAGCGGGAGCAACAGGACGGCCAGTTTTCACTCAAAGGATCCGAGACATTAGGGGGCATATGGACAGCAGACGACAGACACTAACTGGTAGACAGACGGACAAATACTTGCAAGACAGACGTCTGTCTGTCTTACAGAAGAGACCAGAACAGACTTGTCTGTCTGTCTGTCTACCTACAGGCAGAACAGACAGAGGCAGACAGACAGATAGACGAACAGCATATTAAAGAAAACGAAAGATACCAACGAATGGATGGACAAATGACATACGAACAAACGAACGTGATAACGGTGAAACGGTGAAACGAACAAGCCAGCGAGTGAACGAACAAATGTGGGGACGAACAGGCGGACGAAGAAAGGAACGAGCCGACGAACAATCTGGACGGACAGACCGACAGACTGCACAGATCGAGGAAAGATGGATAGTTGAATGGACGGGCGGACGGACGGACGGACGGCCCCTGAATACGGTCCAACAAGGCACACGGTCCCGCTACCTGAGCGCTGGCGCACATGGAGCACGCGTCCTATCAGTCCGAGGCTGCCACCACGCTCCCGCCCATCACCGGCCGCGGCCGCGGCGGGGGCGGCGGCGGGGGCGGCGGCGGCGGCGGCGGCGGCGGGGGCGGGGGCGGGGGCGGCGGCAGGGTCGCCCTCGGGCGGCTCCTCGTCAGTCGAGGCCGCCAGCAGCCGCTCGAGGTCCTCCAGGGCTGCTGAGTGCCGAACACAGCGGGGACGGATGCAGAGCGGGTACAGGGTTAGCACAGGCGAGCCAGCGGCAGCGGTAGCGGCCAGGGTTGGTGAGCGGAGAGCCAGCAGCCGGGGGTCAGTCAGCCAGCCAGTCATAAAGGCAGGTTCATACGGCGAGGCCGACATACATACAGATCCGTTAGTGCTCGCGATAAGGCTAGTGCCGGATTGTCGGGACAAGCCGACACGCGTTTGGCCAATCTTGGATGCCTTAAGTGGACATGAGCATTGATTTATTACCTGGGTCGTTTTAGCGTCTAACTGCATGTCAGCCTCACGGTATGAACTGCGCTTAGTCCCACAACCATGCCACCATTTCAGCCAGAGAGCAAAAAGAAACGTTAATTGAAGATAAACAGTTGTTATATACATTCAAAGGGTAACGTCAACAGCCTGGGACAACTTGAAAAGACAATGACCAATTAAAAAATACATTATAATTAGGTACATGACGAGGACGTGCTGGAAGAAAATGAGTCGATATACAGTTCAAAAAACGTCGAAGCGGAACATCAAGGGGAACGTTTTGTGAGCACATTGGGTAGGTATTTGGTCAGAAAAGTTATATTACAGATGCATTTAGTCCTTTATGCATATCAATATAAACCTGTTGAAAACGCTTACTTCAGAACGTACAAAAATGAGGTTAATTTGGAATTAAATGGCGCAGCAATCATCTAATTTATGCAAAAAAAAAAGAATGGCAGAAGCAGGTCATGCGCTTGGCTGTGAAATCTGCGCTGTGACTGGGGCAGCCCCCTCCTCCAGCGGCCAGCCACCACCCTCCACCGCCCAATGGGTTAACCACTGTCCTCCGGCGCCTCACCGCACACGGCGCCGGGCCGCGGACGGCCGCTCACCATTGCTGGTGGTGCGCAGGTCGAACGAGGGTTTCCGTAACGAGCGGACGCTGGCGCGGGTGCGGATCCGCGAGATGGGCGGTGGTCGGTCGAGCACGAACGCTGGACACTCCTTCACAAACACGAGGTGGTTCACCGCTCTGAAAGAAGGCGGGGCAGAAGGGATATCAAAAACCAGGCATGGACGGACGCTGGCGAAGACGGACGCTGGCGCTGGCAGAAGCGAACAATTTGCTGCTGTTTAGCGTTATACGTCGAACCTGTATCCCCAACGTCAAACTCGACTATCCCACGTCATCACATAACTATCTCCACCGTAACATCTGCACCAACAACCCTTCTTTCCCTCATCGTCATAAGGCACTTCATCCCACCCCTTCCTTGTCACACAACTACCCTCATCGTCACAGCACTATACCCTCATCGCCACATCACGTTCCACCCCTCACCATCCCCCACGCACTAACCGTCCTCCGGCGGCGACGGGGAAGGCGCGGCACGGCAGCAGCAGGTTGTCGCCGTTTCTTCTCCGACACATGAAGTGACCGTCGAACTCCCGACCCTTACTCAGCTGGGACACCAACTGCTCGGCCTGCTCTGGCCGGGTCATTTCCAGCTGGTGCACCTTGAGTAGATGGTGGCCGACAATCTCGTCCCGACTCAGACCCAGCACGTCCAGACACGTCCGGTTCACGTACTGAAAGACAGCGAGGGGTGTCTTGGTGAGCGACGGATGTGACGTGAGGCCCGGGCCGGGGCGCGTTTCGGATGACCAGCGAAGCTCATGGCATGTCACGCAGTCACAACAGGCAGGCAAATGTTGCGGAGTAAAGATTCGAGGTTAGTAGGTACTCCTATGCTGGTGCTCAAACCATAATATGTCAAGAACATTCACTTATGAACAGTATCTTATGCGAAAACAAACACGATGATGGAATCACATTTTGACCCACTGACTTCTGTCGGACAAATCCGTTAATTTCAAGACAACAAAAGCACACTGTTCCTCTGATGTCAGTGTTCGACATCAACGCTAGGCTCCTACGTCCTCTGTCATCCTGTCACCAGCTGTCTGAAAAGGGAGTCTACGAGTGTCTACCCTGCACGACTGAAACAATCTCGGTCCGACTGCGCTGCAGCAGCGCCGCCCTGCGTGAGGTCGACCTGACTGACAGCAGCCCGCCCCGCTCTCTTCCAGGTGTGGTCGGCTCGCCAACACCCGCGGGACCGGCATTATTCAGCCAGCGAACGCATTATGCAGACATTGAAGTACATTAGACCGGCCTAGAGGCACATTAGACGCACGGCCGCCCCGTCCCGTTTGGCCCACGTATCGATTCGAGTCGCCGGCTGGTGCGGCGCCCGCCGGCTAGCGTTCGCTCCTGTTTGGCCGTGCGCGGTGGCAGGCGGCGGAGATTCGGTGGTGGGTGCATAATTGGTCCAGTCCGGCCGCACAGCATAGGTACACACATACACACAGTACAAACGGCCGGTGCAAGTGTCCCCCCCGCGCAGGCACTCCCTGGCTGCCCCCCCCCCCCCCACCCAGCCGGCAAGCGGCCCACGCGGAACACAGCAGGCTGTTGAGGTCGTGTCACACTTCCAAACCCGTCCCATCAAACCACTCGGCAGCCCGCATCCAACACTAGCTGCTTGTATAGTCTCTCTTGAAAGTATCGCGTCATGGGCTGCGGCGGCTCGGCGAACTATTCCATTCAGTTTGAGGACCCCAGCAGTGAGGTCATGGCCTGTATCATAAAAAGTACGCAGTACCTCGATTCTACGCCAGCGGTAGGAGGAAAACTGCTATATGACGCAGGCACCAGAGGCTGACAACTGCAGGTCAAAACAGGTGGAGGCCGGCCAAAGGTCATGCTCGTATCGCTCTTCCTTGACCCCGTCCCCCGCCCCAGGCGGATACCGGCGCCGCTTGGGTTCACCAGCCCGGGCGTTCATTGGTCTGCCAGGCAAAATGACCCCGGCAGTCGGCGCGCCCTAAAACTCCATTAACCCGGTTTACATAGCATATTTGACGAGGCTCTAGCTCGTTAATTTGGCGATAATTTCGATGCAGTGGTCTTCAAATATTTAGAGGGGATCATTTTGTAAATTGTTCAGCACCATTGGCATCTTTTGCAACATCACGGACGGAGATATAAGCTTGCAACAAACCCTATGTAAACGCGTCTATTGGTCTGCCAGTGGGCGCCAATCACTCAGTGTGCGAGACGCGTAAAATCACAACGAAGCAAAGTTCCGCCATAACCCTAGTGTGAAGAGGCCTTCCGAATGACGTAAACAGGTCATGGGAGGGGAAAGGGGCAGCCTGGCAGCAAATAGGGCTTTTAAAAAGCAGACGGCTAAAATGTGAATATTCTTTTTGCGCCGCTCAGTAAGCGGCTCATTAAAAAGAGATAACTTCAAATATATGACTAATTGCCTGAGAGATAATTTTTGTGATTTGAATCCGCTCGCGGGTGCATCTGCAACACGGATGCATGCATTCTTTTAGCGGATGCAACTGATGATTTTTTTTGTATTCGGGCACGGATTTCCGGATTTTACCAAAAACCTGTGACAGTGGTGCCGATGGTGTGACAGTGGTGCCGGTCAAATTGTTAACTTTGCAATGAAACAAATCTCAACAAGTCCTCTGCGAATACTCTGCGAGTAGGGTGGCTTCCGTTGACCATATGCTGACTGAATTCACAAGTTACCGGACGGCTACTGCCACCTCTCCCCCCATCCCTCCGCAGTCCGCAACCACTCCCCTCGCCCCCGTGTCAGGCTTCGGTCAGTGCTAACGGCGGCTCTCAAACTTTTCCGCTCAACCGCGGCTGGGGCAGGTGGCGCCTTCCCCCAGAGTCGCGATACTTTCAAGAGAGACTATACAGTCAAATCTGGGGTGCGCACCTCGTAGGGCACCCAGTCACGAGTCGACACAAGAACTCTTTTGCCGGCATTGGTGCTGTTTTTAGATGCAACCGTGAACTATAGGTACCCATTCACCGAGTTTTGCAACCTATCTTCAGTATTCCTGAATGAATAGAGGGTTTAGCTTCAATGATGACTTTCAGAAAATTCTGAGTAGTGATTACCATGCATATTGCATATGCATATGCATGAATAGTTTCGAAAAGTTCCATACCATAAAAGCAGCAAAGTTCCCAGCTTTCAAGGAGCGCACAAATGGGAAAACATTGTGTAATGTTAAGCTTGAAGGGCACAACGACCATGTAACCTAAGGCAGTCACCGCACTGTCTTTCACATTTTCCCAGAAGCTGCACTGCACGTCTGCTCGCTATTCCACCAATACAGCGCTCACGCTTCACCACAATCATACACCATTTTCATCAGCACGGAGCACCACCACTCACCAGCATCACCAACCCTGTCTCTCGTACTCACCAGCACGTTGTACTCGTGATCCGTGATTTCCACGATGTCCCTGGACTCGTTGAGTGCCGTGAACAGTGCGTCAGTGGCGTGCAGGCGCGCCTGCGGCTCGGCGTCGCTCTTCACCAGCAGCTCCAGCTCGTTGACGCAGAAAGATTCGCTGGTATTCTCGACAAGCCACTGTCGGAAGAAGGAACACCGTCTAGTCAGAATTTACTGATGAAGTCGCAAGCGCGTAGGATCAGACCAAAGATCAGACACTACACTGGGTCAAGCAGCCGTCATTGGGGCAGGAGGTGACATGGTTCAACAGAGACGCACGTTGAATGGAATGTGGATAAACGGTTGGCTACGGAGGAACGCCGTGAAGACCGGATAAATAATGCCTAATCTTTATAAGATAAATTTACTTATTACAGGCGCGAAGCCAAGTCATCCAAGAGATTGATGGGCACCGCATGTAATGAGAGTGCCGAGTGGGTTGAACTTCTGGGACCGGCGAACATAATCATCGTTCATAAGTGACATGATGCCATTGGGGTTATAGGGTACGCTAAAACGGAGTGTTATACGGCGCCCATATAACGGTCTAATTCATAAGTCATATGGCATTTTGATTGATATGTAGCATGGCCTCAAAGGACTAGGTACCTCCACCTTGAAGGGGTTAAGTCACAGCGTAAATACGACAATGCGAGGGTAGCAGACTTTCTAAGCGCGCGAGCTCGTTTGCTTAACACATCATCGAAAGCACACACAACAGCGTAATGTCGTACAATGTAGTAGATATCCAGATTTACACTGCCGAAATTCACCATCCCACGCTAACGACGTTATAGCTGCATGATCGTGGCGGAAGGGTCGAAATACAATAACCTCTATAAGTCCACCCTCAGCTCTGGTCATGTAATCACGGCGGACATCAGGGACATCCGGCACGCATCTGGGTACGGCGAACCCGGCTCGGCTCGGCTCGTGCCGTAATAACGTTCGCCGACGGGCTGCGTGTCGCGGTCGGGGAGCGGGCGGGCGCAGCTCCTCCAGTAACTGGATGACGCTGACCGAGTGGCCGTCACATGTGTCCCGGCTAATCACATCGCGTGCTCTGGGGCCGTCTGACCGGCCGCGAGAGCTCCCCGCGGGACGCCATGGCCTGTCCCAGTGCGGTACGCGGTGGTAGTCATGGCGATATCAGGACGGTTTCCCAATTCCCATGGCTCGGTCCACCGGGATAGAACCGAGGGCGACGGTGGTGAGCGGTCACAGGGGGAGATCAAAGACTGCTGAGACGGAGCTAACGCCTAACCTGATACGGAGCTGACGACGACCCTGATACGGAGCTAACGTCTATCCTGATATGGAGCTAAAGGTGCGATCCTGATACGGAGCTGTCGTCGATCCTGATACGGAGCTAACGCCGATCCTGATACGGAGCTAAAGGTGCGATCCTGATACGGAGCTATCGTCGATCCTGATACGGAGCTAGCGTTGATCCTGATACGGGGCTATCGTCAATCCTCATACGGAGCTAACGTCGACCCTTATACGGAGCTAACATCAATACTGATACTGACCTAGCGTCGATCCTGATACGGAGCCATAGTAGATCCAGATACGGAGCTGAAGTCGATCCTGATAAAGGTGCATTCCTGATAAAGGTGCAATCCTGATAAAGGTGCGATCCTGATACGGAGGAGCTATCGTCGATCCTCATACGGAGCTAACGTCGATCCTCATACGAAGCTAACGACGATGCTATGATATGGAGCTAACGTCGATCCTGATACCGAACTAACGTCGATCCTGATACGGAGCTAGCGACGATACTGATACGGAGCTAACGTTGATCCTGATACGGAACTACATCCGGAGCTACCACTGCACTGACTCGCAGAGCTACGATACAGAGCTAACGCCGGTTCCGATATGGCCTTCACACTAAGCTAAAACACGGGGGCCACCACCTACCATCAGTCCTGACGGGGAGCTACCGCTAGATACATGTGGCTTTAGCATATAGCACGGGACTTATTATCAATGCCGACGGGGAGGGATCAGACATAGAAGGGGACGGAGTTACCAGAGACGGCCACCTGCTGTTCGCCTGGCCAACACTCGACGCGGACAGACCCTCACAACACGATACCACCCACCGCCAGCGCTGTCGCTATCTCCCAGAACACCGACCGCCGGGCATACACTGTAAAAATGCTAACAAACCAGTTAGTTAATTCTTCAAGCAAAATCTAGTATAAAAACACACGTTGTTGCAAAAAACGGGTCAGATAACACATATGTTTGCAACCTTACACCACATCCATTTCATCCAAGCAGAAAAGCTAACATCATTGTAAGCCGACAAATATTATCCGTGCAAACCATGCCGTGTTATTTGACAAACATGTTTGTTTATGCTTTCTTTGCCTTTTTTCTGAGTAACGTGTTAATTAACAAATCAAACGCATGTTGTAACTTACAATCTTAGTTTTCTTACTACCCTTTTTGTTGTAGCATTACAAAGACCTTAGTTAATTGAAAAAGTTCGCCATTTTGTGCGCCCCTCTGCGCCCGCCATGTTCAGTCTGTGCCAAGTCAGAGAAGGGAGAGGACGTGTGCGTTGTGAAGGGTGGCGTATGCAAAGTGTAAGTGTTGCGTGTGTGCAGTATATAAGGAGCTGCTGTGGTGTTAAGAATAAGAATAATAAGAAGTCAAACAGTGAAATGATATGGATTGTTGGACATGGCTTTCATCCTTACTGGTATGGTGAGTGATTATGGGAAAGATCAGTGCAGATATTGCTGGCGTTTTAGTGTGGTTTATGTACCTATGTCACTCATTCTCTTTTCAATTGAACCTCCAACCAGGCTTTAGAGGGTCTCAGGTTGGAGACACCGTTCATTTGTTGACTGTCAATTGACGTCTGTAAGTACATATGACGGACTGAACAATGAGCATGTTGCACACTAAAACCGCATTAAGCTTTGAACAAGAAATTAAATGTACCTAATTTTTGGTTGGGCACTCAACCAGTGAACGCGGTGAGGTGCTGTTTTATGCAATTCCTGTCACTGTACCCATGTTGTCAAATAAAATGTTTGTAGTCACATGAGCCACCATTGTTCGGTCAGGGAATTTTTGCCCTTTTGTTGCAATTTAGTGTACCCATATCGACAGAAATGAAGCATTCTCAATGTTTTCATAATAGGTATTTGGAGCCTGTATGGTGTCATGGCTGGTGCGGATTCCTGCAGGCTATATATAGCTTAGAACGTAACTTTAGAACGGAGCGCCTTTGCCGCTCGGCAGTTTCCTACAGAAGATTACTTTTTTAGGTTCATTTTTAGTACAATAAGAGAAATATTACTGTATGCAGTTGTAAGCTTGCTGAAAGGAGCTTGAATGCAGTTTTGAATAAACATGTTTGATGAGTTTAATTCGATTCGTTTTTTTTTTGGGGGGGGGCGACTGTGAAAAGAGGTGACTAACACGCACATTAGTTAAGTTACACGCCTGTTCCCAAAAATGCATTTAGTTTATTAACACGCACAGCTTAGTTAGCTAACACGCAATATGTGTGTTTTGCGTACACGCATATAGCTAGTGAAAAGTGGCCGTGTGACAAACACATGTGTTACCTAACACGTCTGTAGTTATTAACAAAACACACCGATGATAGTCAATAAACACGCTTACACGGCTTATCTTAGTAACCTGGCAAATATTCGAAAACTAGGAGGTGTGTTTCAAAACACGCTATTCAACCTTTTGCGTGTAATTGAAAACACACTTAGTCATGAAATGCGTGTTTTGCTTACACGCCTATGGTTAGTGAAAAGTGGCCGGATAACTAACTAGTTGGTAAACTTTTTTTACAGTGTAGTTCGTAAACTCGGCCGGAACATAGTTCGTAAACTCGGTCGGGACATAGTTAGTAAACTGGACGTTTAATTAGTGGTCTGCGGACGGCGCCGGCAGGCTCCGAGTGACGTCACGGCGCGATTGTGTCGACGGTCGGCCGGCGGCGGCGGCGCTGACAGCTATTGGCGAGACTGGGTCAGCCTGACGTCCACCGGAACACACCAGACAGACGCAGAGAGTGGGCCTACAGAGTGGTGGTGTGATTGGTCAAGGAGAGGGCCGAGCGATCCGCAACAGCCTCTCCCCCCCCCCGCTCCCTTACTGCTAGACGGCAGCACGAGCGACCAGACGCGCTCGCAAAGAGCACACTGCTGAGGGCGGAGCGAAGCCTCACGTGCCCACACCAGCCTAACCGCGACCTATGACCTCTCCGTGAACCGACGGTCGCCTGATGGTGCCTTCCCACCGCCAGCGGCAGCTGCTTCCCTGCCAGCTTACCCTCCAATGGTGTACATTATGAGCCACCAAATTAATCACAGCAGTTAATATAAGGTGCTCTCCTCATCTAATATTGGGCTACTCCGAGGCTTGCTGGTATATACGGCGCGGCGATTACGAGTCACGCTGCGCCAAGATGAGTAATCTCACGGCGCGTTTGCCGGCCGGGCGCGTCCGTCATCATCCGCTGTTGCACATGATCCTGTCAGCGGGTGATGTTTGTCCCGCGGGGGCTGTGTATGATCGGTGGACCGCACCCGGGGGCCGGGTCGGACGGGGCGGGGTGCCGCTCGGCCGGTCGGTCGGCGGCCACTCAGCTCCGTCGGCCAGCGCCCGGCGAGCAGTTGGCCGCCCGAGCCGCCGCCGTCGAATCAATACGCGCTGGGCTCTCTTGGAGCCGCCGCACCATGGCTAATGTGCCCTTTACGCCGCGCCGGCGGCCGCTCGGCTCACCTGCAGGGACGGCCCTCTGCCTGCCGCTCTCGCACTCTGCCCGCTCCCGGGAAGGTTTCTGTCGCAGTTCAATCAGCTCCAGGAGTCGACCCGGACCGCGGGCGGCTCAATGTGAGCTCCGGCACTGGGGGGCTACATGGCGAGCAGGGATATACGGAAGCGTTCTATTACGCGCCGAGGCACAGTGTGTGGTTCATTTCCGGTAGATTCGCTGTGCTCACAAATGGTTTCGTCCGAATCGACGGTATATGTGTCCTATGTTAAACGATTTCCCCAAAATACTATGGCGTTACAATGCATTGTACAAATCGGCGAAGGATAATAAGATAACCACATAAAGCCAACACTAGATCTACTTACTGAACTGTGCTGCAGCCAGATATTTCTTACAGACCTAGGTACTTATACCTACTCATTGAATTTACACGATTACTTCCACTTAGTAAGAGCTCCAGACGGGAATGCTACCTAATCAACGCGTGCCAAATAAGCTCCATTGCCATTTGTAAACGCAAAACAAGCTACCCATATAATACCTATACCACCGCCTTCGTCCCGCGAACCTCGATCCTCACTCGACCGTTGAGCACAGTCAGGAAGAGGAGCCCACGGCCCGCGGTGCAGTGAGAGAGCATCGAGCCGAGCGGTTTCCCACGTGTAGATCGTGTCGGTCGTGCGGCCCCCCCACCGTGTCAGAGGTGCGGCACACCGGTCGGCCACCGTAAGCCAACAGGTTGCGGCGGCCGGCCGAACATGTTGGCGAGTTACGGCTCCCGACCGCGGCACGTAACAGGCGCGGCACCGGCAGCGAGGCCATCGGGTGGCCGCCGGCCGGTCCTCAGCGGTCCTGAGCGATCCCGAGAGATCCTGGACGATCCGGAGAGATCCTGAACGATCTGAAGGGATGCTGAACGAATCGGAGGGATCCTGCCGCGCAATATTGCTCCGATCCTGCTCCTATCCCGAGCGATACTGCTCCGATTCTAAACGATCTTACTGAGATATCCTGTTCCAATCCTGTTCGATCTTGTTCCTATCATAAGCAATCCTACAGGGAAGATTACTTACAGGTATATACCCAACGAGACGGAGACGGGACGGGACGAAGAAGAGATATAAAGACGGGGTGGAGACGGGAGGGAGACGGGAAGGGAAGGGACGGAGACGGGACGGAGACGGGACGGAGACGGGACGGAGACGGAGTGGAGCCGGGATGAGACGAGGCGGAGAAGGGGCAGACGGGACGGGACGGAGACGAGAAGGAGACGGTATAGTGGAGACGGGAATTGATGCCGAAATGGAGCTGGACAGAAGCGGAAGAATTTAGGTAAATGTCAAAACATGCCGGCGGAAAAATTACTTACGAAAACGCAACCATTCTGGTCCGGAATCAGTTCAGTAATCGAAGTGTTTAGTCCGATCGGAAGTCATGGAAAATTGTCCCAAGCCATGGAAAATTAAGTCGGAAATCTTCAGGAATTAATAGGAGAAAGTGATTCCCTGGAGTCCTTGGACATAACTAAATGCCGAGCAAGCATATCAAACAGATAGAATTATACCAGCGGGTATAGACCTAGACCCTGTCCGCCATTAAAATATCAAACCTAAAACTGAAGTCACCGAACAGTCGAAAAGGAGTGTTGTCACATGCAATGGCGTTGCTAAGTGCAAGCAGTTCGGATAAAGGTACCGATTAACTTCCAGCAATTACCGTCATGCCCATAAGAAGTTTTAGAGCACACTGCTGAATCAAAACGTTGCTGAGAACGATCTTGTGGTCGTCGTTGCATGTTGTTATGTTGGGAAAGTGGTTATACAACGCTAAGTAATTAAATATTTAAAATAGTAATAGGTACAATGGCTTGAGAGACAAAAGTGTCATGTGTTTATGCACATTGCACAAGAAACTATTTCAAGACAAATCCGTGCCAAAAAGAACAAACGGTATAGATAAACTTCTAGAGGAAAGGAATGAATAAGATAGCAGAGCAAAAATTCCTTCGCATTTGCCTGATAAGTTGATGGCATGTCAGCAACAAGTTGATGGCATGTCAGCAACAATGCAGAAAAAGAAAACAGTGAAAGTGTTTAATAAGGCAAACACATAAGCAGTGAGCGACTGGACCTTTTCCAAACTTTGTTACAGGCAAGTGACAACAACTGTTGCAATAGGTGAAACGGCGAAAGTACTGAATAAAAAGTCTTTCCTTGGCAAAACCAAAACTACTTTCCCGCAGAATACATCAGAGAAATTCATTAAAAAGTTTTCCAGCTCCTGTTCACGAACTAAGATGTTTTCGGCAAAGTTCTCTGCAGCGCACGTGCTCACGCCCTAAATCCAAAGGCCGGACAAATAGGCCGAGCTTTGGCCGGATTACTGCCAGTTGGCGTTAATTGCAATACGTTGTAAACCAGAGCGGGCAAATACACGAACACTTCCACGCCGCATTGCTTAGTGCTAGCTAAGTGCCCCGAGCTTAGACGGTTTCGTCAGTGGGTTTTGTGGCTCAACAAGCCCGGAACAGCGGATGACTGACCCGAGGATAAGTCTCTAAACTGTGAACGTGTTAAAACTACAACTCTGACTCATCGGTTTACAATGCCCCGGGTGAGACACGATTCCAAACGTGTTCGCTTCTAGAGAAAACAAGCAAAGCACACAGACTCAAACACAAAAGCACACTGGCAGCAGTGGAAGCTGCGCTAGGAGTATATAGCGACTCACCCGGTTGAAGCCCTTCTGTAGGATGGAAGTCGCCGCGCCGTCCTTCGAGAGGAAGCTGAAACGGTACAGCGCCGCGTTAGGAAAGTGACTGAGATACCGTCAGTGCCGCCGGCATCACGCCTAGGCACGATGCAGAGTCACCCTTATCTTTGCACATTCAAGCACGGAAAACGAAAGCATTCTTAAAACATGTAGTTACAATTTAACGGTTTTTACCTTGCCTGCTGGTAAAAAACAATTAGCGGTGTGTTGAAGAAGCTGTTATCGTGTATTACATCTCATAATTTGGGCGGGTGACATTCGTTATAAGGCTGAGTCCATCATTATTAGTAATATAAAGACACGATCGGGTGAAATGGCATCATGGGCGCCCTTGGAAAAACCTGGACCGTCCGACATCATTGGAGACCGCTGACAGTTATTTGTAGTGGTGGACGGGATACAGTCAAGATCCAAGGTCCCCGGTGTGGGAAGCTCCAAACGCCTTTCCGAAAGTTTTTTTTCGACGGCAAATAAAACGAATATGAAGGATAAGAAAATCGTGTAAAAAAAAAACTACACAAGCTAGGCAGTAAGGGGCGCAAAACATCCATCATAAGTTAATCAGCTGATAGCTACAGCCTATTATGTCCGTGATATGATACATTTGACGACACCTCTAAATATCTTTGCCTCCATATCTCTATGTGCGTTCCAATATAAACGTCCGGGACCGCCACCCCGATGTCTCGTGGTGTCCATCTGGAGGACACGCGTGTCCGCCGGATAACGGATCCCACGGTGTGCCAGGCACGACCAGGGCACACCCTGTGGTGCCGTCGAAATTTACGCGACGGGTTTCCCAGCACGACCGTCGCGCGTCGTCCGGGCGACGTACCAGCGCTCTGCGGCCAAAATAGCTGAGGCTGTGTTGCAGACACAAAAAGAGCTTTCAGCACAGAGAGGAACATTCCTAATCTCGGTCACACATGCCTCTCGGCTGATTGTGACCGAGAAAAGTTGGTCCGCAGCGGCGGTAGCGTCAGAGCAGTTTGGTCCGGGCGACGGCAAAGCGAAGCGGCTGGGAGCGTCCCAGAGGCTGAGAGTTCTGAATAGACTGAACGGCGCTCAATACCCCCTCTTCCCATGGGCTTTAGCCCCTTGGGCACATGCAGTTTTATCCAGCCCAGACCAGTAAATTGTAACCATGGAAGCAGTAATCACCAACCGCGAGCAAACTGGCAGTTACGGCGGTAGGCAATTAAACGGAAAAACACCCGCGTTCACTGAAGCTTTACCGCGATCAATCAAACACAATGTTTGGCAGCTGCAGCAAAGCTCCCATTCCGATATCACGGACACACCACATCGCTGCCGGCCCGTCGGACACGTGTTTCTGTCCAGCCGGCTAATATTGATGGACGGACACTGTGTGAGCACACCGACGACACCGACGCGACGCTGACGTCACGAATGACGTCAGGCTGCCGTCACGCTGACGTCACCCACCTTTTGCTGACGAGCGCCACCATGACCGCACAGCAGCTAGGGTTGCTGGTCCGCAGCTGTCTGAAAGGAAAGGAGGCGTGAGTGGGCCGATAGACCATAGAGCAGCGCACACAATACAGCCATAAAGGCATACACGAGCAGTGATACGCACGAAGAAGGACGAGCACAGATTCGCACACGAATCGCTTACCTGCAGTACTAAAGATAGGTATATTGCGGAAAGCGTGGCGTTCGATAGGCTATTAGCATGTGTTTGTGTGTGTGTGATTGAAAAAAAAACACCGAAACAAGGCTGTGTCGATCTCGGAGTGCGATGGACATCATTTTCGCGAGGATTGGAGTGTCTAAGATGCGGAATGTCCGGTCAGAAGCACCGCCCGGCACGGTGTGACCAAGGGCTTACGATCGCCACCTCGCCATCGTCCTCACTCTCCCGCTGCTGACATCACAGGCCGCATAGTTCCCGCATGACCAGCCGTGCGTCCGATTAGAGCCTCCAACAATGCGCGGTCGTGACGGTGCTAGAAGAGCCGAACTCGGAGCCGTGGGAGCTGCGACCGGCCGGCCGACACCATCGCGCACGATCGACCGCGCGGCCATTTCTCGCCATCTTGCTCTCTTGTTCTCTTCCTCTATTTCTGTTTCCCCCTCTCTCTCTTATCTCCTTCCCTCACTCTTGTTATCTCTGTCCTCTTCCTCTCTACGACTTTGTTTCTATGTGTCTCACTTTTCATCTCTCTCCATCTCTGTCTTACGTTACGTTTTCTCTCTCTCTCTCTCTCTCTCCTCTCTCTCTCTCTCTCTCTCTCTCTCTTTCTCCTCTCTCTCTCACTCTCTCTCACTCTCCTTCTCTCTCTTTCTCTCGATCACTTTCTTTCTTTCTCTCTTCTCCTCTCCCTCTTTCTTTCCCTCCCTCCCTCTCCTCTCTTCCTCTCTCCTCCCTCTCTCTCCTCCCTCTCCTCTTCTCTCTCTCCCCTCCCTCTCCTCTCTCCTCTCCTCTCTCTCTCTCCTCCTCTCACTCTCTCTCTCCTCCTCTCTCCTCTCTCTTCTCCCTCTCCTCTCTCTTCTCTTCCTGCTCCTTCCCCCCTCTTCTCTCTCCCTCTCTCTCCCTCCTTCTCTCTCCCCTCTCTCTCTTCCTCTATCTCTCTCTCTCCTCTCTCTCTCCTCTCCTCTCCTCTCTCTCTTCCTCTCTCTCCTCCCTCTCTCTCTCTCTCTCTCTCTCTCTCTCCTCTCTCTCTTTCCGTTTATCTTCCTTTCCCTTTCAACACTACCTACGGACCTACTCGAAGAACACAGTCTCTCACACACTCACCAGACACAGAACACGAGCTAATAGCCAGGGCCCGAGACTGCCCGACCACGCTCGCAGGCCGGCAAGAGTAATTTATCTTCTGGCTCTCCAAGCCAGCCCAATCTTACCGAGTGCCTTACGTACGTGATGATGCCGTACTTGTAACTCAGAGCGTTTTAGCAGCGGCGCTCAAGAAGTCATAACTTGCCGTGTTAAAAGGCAGAATTCATCTCACATTGCAGTTTGATTAGGCTGAGATTTGAGCACGCCAGTCCTCCTGCAGCACTCGTAGCGATAAGGCAACATAGGAGTGACATCATAAACGGTAGGTTAACCGTAAAATTACCGTCCAGTCTCAAGCAATGGGATACAACTAACGAACTTCATGCAGAAAATAAATGCAATACATAATTATAGCACCACAAAAGATGACCGAGAAAAGTCTGTCTTCGCATTACGAGTATGGTAAATTATCACATAAAATCGGCTAATTTAAGAGTAGTCGTCGACCGGGTCGTCTCACCGCTGCCGATCACCGGACGCAGGTGACCCGGAGGAAGAATGGTCGCTAACTATATCCGGCGCCCACGGGGTGGTTCCCACAGACTCTCCCGGACCCGGAGGCCGGCCACCCACGCGTCCGACACCTTTTCTCTCGCCGTCGGAAAACGGAGCCGGATGGCGGCGGGCCGGGTGCGACGGGCCGACAGCTCGCCTCTGAGCTCCGACAGCCGCTCGGTCACCGTCCGTCCGCTCCTGGACCATTCTCACCGGGCCGACCCGCTGAGAACGCCACCAGCCCCTCCGAAATCAATGGCTCAGCGAGCAGCCCGGCAGCCGCTGAATAACGTATGGTGACCGGGCACTTTTCAACTACCCAAGCAGTGATGGCGGACGCTTAGAAAAGGAGAGTGCCTGCCGACGGTAGCTGCTGTAATAGTCAAGGCCATGCTGCTTTTGAAGTCATGGATGAAAAGTGCGCACTGCCTCGAGGTCTAACGCAAAGCCCATGCATTCTGTTTCCTCCGGACAGGAGAACACTCGCCACTGCTGGGGGCGCGATGGGTCCACCACATCAGATGCACCGTGCCGCGGGGCGAGCCCGGGTGATAACGGTGTCGGCCCGATGATATATGGGGGGCGCCGACGCGGCCAGGGCAGGCCAAACGAGCGGCGGCCGGCCGTGCGACGCGCCCTGTCACGAGGTAATGACGCGCGACACGTGACGTCATCGGTGGCCGAGTGCGGCGCGAGACTTGTCACAGTCACGACCGGGTCGTCCATCTCGGCACCGAGGCCGACCGACCAGTCGGTGCCTCCGCTAGTGGCGGAACCTCTCTTACAGTACCGCTATGCTCAGAATTGTTTCCGACACTTTGATCTACCCAAGACAAACATGTCATAAGTGCCCATGCTCAAATCAGATTCTCTCTCCTTCATCGCCGGCGCTCAAATCTTTCAATACAATTCTCGGATTTCCACGCCACAGCCCTCCACAGGTGCCGTGTTTATGTTCACTGGTCGGTAGGGGACGGCACGGGGGGGGGGGGGGAGGAGGGCGGCTCGTGTGTACCGGTCGTTTGCGGTGACGGTTCCGCGGCACGGGCGCGGCACCAGTCACGCACGTGCCCCACTCCCCCCACCGCCGGACCTGGCAGCTCCGGATAGCAACGAGCACAGCCGCTGGTCGGCTGGTGAGATCCTGAACTGATGCAGGCGAAATGAAGGAGCTGGCGGTTATAGTGAGGTAGTTCAACCGTGAGGAAGACCCAGGTTATTGTCAAACGCTGTCAGTGTCATTCACGGTGTATCGTGCATAGTTTTTGCAAAGACGCCTTGTTGAATAGCAGCCATGTTGTGATGGAACCTTCGCCAGTTATGTAACAAGCAGTCACATCCTGGATGTTGCGACCAGCAATACCTCGGTGAACCAAGAAACCAGTAGCCTAGGTGACCATAATAAGCTATGACTTGTAACCCACAATGACCCTTGACCAGTGACCTGGGTAGCCTAAGTGATCAGTGACCGAGGCGACCGTAAACCGTACACTGAAAACAAAATGACACAAAAAAAAACCGACTAAAAACGCACAGGCAGAGCGTGTTAACTAGGCTTTCTTGTGTACCCTGCATCATGCATTTTTTGACCCGTCGCAGACGTGTCAATTTACAAATGTGTTAACCCAGTCGTGTTGTGTCCTAAAACACAATATCATTGTGTCTTCAACACATAAGGCTTGTGTTAATACATCTGCAGAATACAAGGTAAATGTGTTTCTAAATTTAACACAAATCGCAAGTGAAAGAAGGAAACACGTGGTGATTATGTAGTTTGTTACCGGGGCGCAGTTGAAGGGACTTTGGCTTTGGCTGGACAGGCTGACTGCCAAAGCCGGGCCCCGAGTGGAATCGGGCGCTCGGGTGCGGTCAGGGCTAAGCACCCGGCCGGCCGACCCATACGGTCAGGGCGCGGTCAGGGCTGAGCACGCGGCCGGCCGACCCATACGAGGCCGCCGACCCATACACGAGTGAAGTGGCCCGGTCGGCCACTTCAGAGCCGAAGGGTGAACGCGTCACGTGGACGGCTCAATCAAAGCACCAAGTGACGATGCCCCAAATTGGAGGACTACTGTACAATACAGTTGTCCAGACAGCCGGGATAGATTTACGGCCACCGATTTTTCAAATATATCCTATATAGACCGAGGAGTTTCTTCCTCCAAGCAGACGTTAATAAGCTATGCTTCAGCTTGCACTTGATGTAATCAGCGCTTATTGCTCTAGACAATTTATCATGTATCGACTCCCTCGGCTGTATTATGCATTTTGACCTTTCTCAAAACACTTTGGCAAATTTTTACAAAAACCCAGTGTAGTTAGTATTGTATGCTATATGTTATGCATGTGTATGATAGAACTGGCACAGGCCGTGGCCCACAGCTGTGGCTGTCGGCCGGCGCCGGCAACTAGAGCTGACCGACGGCTCGAGTTCAGGGCCGCTGGCCGGTGAGCACGGCGCCGGCGAGCCGGGGCCAGTCGGCCGGAGTGGGAGGCGTGTGGCGGCTCGGTCCCCGCTTGGGAATAGACATTTCTGCGCATTTGTTTACTACAAGCTATTTCGGCTTTGACCTTTAAGACGCGTGACCATGTCAGTGACGGGTGATAACGCGGAGAGGAGCGGCCCGGACCATGGACCAGGGACGGTGTCTGTGCCAGTGACCAGCAGCGCAGGGCTACCGAACCAACCGTTTGACACTCGATTGGTGCCTGAATATGACGGCACGACTGACGTGGTGGAGTGGTGGGAGCGTGCGAGGCTCCTCTGTGAACTGCGTGGTGTCTCGCTCATGTCTGTGGTACCGCTGCGGCTGGCAGGCGGGGCATTCACCGTATGGTCACAGATGCCGGCAGCCAGCCGCGGCTCGCTGGTGGAAGTGCAAGAGACGCTGTATGCGGCGTTCGCCATGGACAGCTTCGCTGCGTATGACGCCTTCTGCTGCCGACGCCTGCGGACCGGCGAATCACCGGATGTGTTCCTCTCTGATCTACGGCGGCTAGCGGTGCTTTTCGGGGGTGTGCCAGACAAGGCGCTCATATGCGCATTTGTCTCTGGACTACCCGACAGCACCAGACAAGCTATCCGCGCTGGATCCAGGGCTGAGGGCCTCAGCCTGGAGGATGTACTCGCTCGGGCCCGCTCAGTGCTGAGCGACCAACGGCCGGCGGCGGCTCCGGTGGCAGCAGCTCAGGTGGCGGCGGCGGCGGCGGC